TACTTTTATGTTGCACGTTGTCAAAACCTAGATTAACTGCCGTCACTGCTAATAAGGACACTAAATATGAGAGACCTGCATGTGACAGTAAAATATGCAAAGTGACAACATTTTAAAAGAGAGTTTATACGTATTTCTGTTGATGATGGTTGAATTTCATTAAACAGTGTAATGTAGTTCTTTTTGTGAAGTTAAGCATAGAAATAGAACCCAAGAGCTTATTATGTAATGATGCAACACTGATGTCCTTGGTTTGAGGACACTGAGGACGAAGTTTGTCACATTTTAAGAGTGATTCTGCTTTAGGGCTATACTCTTTTTAATACTTTTATCCAAACTAAATGCGTATATCTGGAAAATACAGAATCATCACTTCTCCGAGTTCTTCCAGTGTCATGATCTGCAACTGCTCTGGAAATCCCATAATGCATCCAGTGTATGTAGTGACATCTATAGAGCCATAATGCTATAGCTAAAAATATAAAGCTGTATTTCCCCTATACCCACTATTAAATACCTTAAACAAGAGTATGAGACTGTAAAAATATTATCTACAGGATATAACACAATACCACAACAAATTAAAGTATCACCATGAAAGTATGGGCATCCAGTCACACACAGTTTATGGTTTGGACCTGTTTTTGATTGTGTCATTTCTTGTCAGTTCTTTGGATTTTGGCCTTGTTATTTCCTATTTTATTTTGAAGTTCCTCACCTTGTTTCCCCTGCTTTACTTCCTGTCTTTGTGTGTTCTTCCTTCCTGTGTGATTGTTTGTCTCACCCTCATGTTTCACCTGTGTTGAATCGTATCCACCTGCCTGTGTGTCCACACCCGGCTCCTCGGTCTCAGTACCTGGAGTTTCTTTAACTTTCTGTTTGGTTCACGTTCCTGAGTTCTTCCCTCTGAGTTTGGATTATTTCACTGTGGATTACCTCCTGCCTGCCGCCCTGCCTTGAAACACTGTAAGCCAGAACGTTTAACTACATTTCCCCACTTTCTCTCTCTGCCTGCATGTGGGGGGGGGTCCTGCTTTCTACAAACAGATTCTAGGCAAGGAGTTTAAGCCAAATGACCTAAACCACCTCGGGCCTGCACTATGAAGCACCCACAAGGGTTATTCTTTATCTGGCTTCACTAAACCTAACAGTGGCTGTTCTGATAACCTGATTCACAAAGCTGGTTATCAACTGTCTCAGTTAACCCTGGGTTTTCCTACCTGAGGTTGTTAAACCCAAATCCTGTTTCGTAGCACAAGGCCCCTGGAGGTTTGAGCTAAAAGTGAGTGAGTGTTGGTAGTGACCTAATCTCTCATTGCAGAGGAAAACTGTGTGCACTATGTGGTGAGTGCACCAGGTCCAAATTGATCCTGGAGAGTCTGTGAACTGTGATGGATGGTTTGGGTCATGCTGACATCATGGCACAGTTTGCTAGAGGCAGTGCAGAGAGAGCAGGACACAACCAACCTGCTGCAACGAGTGATCTTATGTAGTTTAGTGGGATTGTAGAATATAGTGACAACTGTGAGATCTCCTTCGTTAACAACTTAAACCTCCTGTCGAGGCCTGGGTCCACTGGACGTGTTGTGGAGGTGAGAATGTCTGATTAAAAATTCACTTTGATTCTCTTTGTCGCAGAACTTGGTGTTAACTCAGGACAGAGTGTGTGTGTGTGTGTGTGTGTGTGTGTGTGTGTGTGCCACCAAGGGCCATAATTAGAAATAATTGCATCACTGTAATAATTTTACCGGTACCCTTTATTTTCTCTTTAAAATAAGCTGAACTGTCCTGGGGGTAGGGCCGGCTGATAAATAAAAAAGTGTTTTTCTGCGTTTCATTCATCCCATATAGGTGCTCATCTTTTTTTGTGATGTAACATAAAAAGCATTGTTGCTGTTTTGTTGTTGAGGCGTGTATGTAATACCATGTTGGCTGCAGAGATCAAGTAATATTTGACTGATTAATTTGACAAAAAAGATCGATAAGAATCATTAGTAGAAGTCCATGTACAGATCCAGTATTCATTCAAAAGTCAGAAACTAGTAGATCACATTATTCTACAAATAACAAATCATAAGAAAACTTTGACCACCAACATCCAGAAAAGATTTGAAAAAAGAGAAGAGCCATTATTCATGGAACGTTGCATTAAAAGGAATAAAAGGAAAAAATTCCACTGAAAGGAATGAATTTGTGAAACAATCTCAACAAAGAAACTAACACAAACATTATATTTAGAAAAACAATTAAAGCCAGTATGTTGAGGAAATACAATGACGTGTTAATTAAGTTTTGTTGTGACAGGAAAATCATTGTTCTTCTTTCAACTGTATAAAATGAATTGTAACCTAGAACTAACAGAGGGATGTGAGGGGCCTTGTCGGCCTGCAGCTTTTGTAATTTTGGATTTTATTGAACTATTTGCTTTGCTAATGAATATATTTTAGCAGATAGCAGATCATTCTTCTTTCTTCATTTTTTTATTCCCAATACTGAGTCTGCGTTTAAATTGTTTTGTTTGATCGTTGAATGAAAAAAACAAACGAAGGTTTAAAATCATCAAATCTGTCATTTAATCCATCTCTCTCTGTCTCTCTACTATTTTCTGTCAGTTTCAGCTGTTGAGTTTCCAGTAACAGCAATGTATTAATAAATAAATAAAACTCCTATTAAATATGTATAATGTGCCATATAAAAGACTGCTCTGCTACTGACAGGGTTACTTCATTTTTTTAATTGCATGTTAGTTGTTAGGTGATGGAGAGCTACAGTGAAACAGGAGCTGAACTGAAAACAGACAACACTATGAACTGGACGAGCCCTCGAGAGATACGCCTGAGAAATATTTAATACTCCACCAGCAAGAACAATCAATATGTTTCTACAGAGGAGAATCCGAGAGAAGAGACTGGCAGTTTGCACAGAATCTGTGAATCCCAAACTCATCCTGCTCGCTCAGTTCAGAGATCGGATGTTTGATGAGGTTGAAGAGTACAATATTTATAGTGGAAATGGGAAATGAAATCAGCACTGTATTTTTTTCCTATCTTCAGAATAACCTCCATGGTTAGAGGGCAGGTAAACACAATGAAACAGCACGCGCACCTTTATCTGAATTTGATTAAAGATATGAATACGTTTTTACATCGTCTGCCTTTGCTGAAGACATTTGGCGAATAGACAAACAGACTTTTCACCTTATTGTCGGTTCACCACTGCAGCAAATGACAGTTTTCTGTTTCTGTTTCTGTTCTTATTAACATCCAAACGTTCACTGTTTCTCCATTCAGGGGCCGCATCCTTGGTCGGCTGCATTCGTAGACCGACTGCATCACAGCTGCGCAACTAGACTCTCCCAATTTGAAGGCTCCTCTAAATGTGGCCAATGAAGGCTGTGTTTTCGTCTATAGCTTTGTTGCTAGGCGACTGCTGTAACGGCGGGACAAGCTGGTGGCGCAGTAGGAAGACCAGACCTTTTTCTTTCGGTTTGTACGAAGAGGTGTACGCGTTTAATTAAGACACAGCTATAGACTCAATATTCCATAGACTGTTTTTAAAGATGGATGACCAGTCTCCCCTTCTTCCTACTGTCTAGAAATCAAGTTTAAAAGTCCCAGATATGAATGCTGCCATCTTTCACAGAAGCAATCATGGGATGGTGCTAAAGTAGCAAGGTCCTGCCGAGGTGCACTCTTGACCAATCGTGAGTCAGTCTCAGCTGTCGATCATGAGGTTTCACCTCGTTTTTATTAAATAACTAGGAACAAACTTAACATGAAACATGAAAACTTGAATATACATCAGTGTGATAACAGCTGCATAAGATCTTCGAGGAAAATGTACTTTTTACTTTTAAGTTCGGTCCATGTCCAATACACTAATGGCTCATTTATGCTTAACTTAAAAAAACTTGACTCTGTGCTGCCCACTAGTGGATATATTGCTGAATAACAATGTCAAAATACAGGATGCATAGAAGTATGTGGGCGGTGATGGTTATATTGTTTGGACGTATCTCTTTTCTAACGTAAATGAGCCTTAATATGGACGAGGCTGAACTTGTGAGGAATACTACAGCCACAAAAATGTCCTACAATTTGCTCATTTAAAGTAAAGGGAAAATGTCTTGTCTCTTGTGATCGGTCTCTTTGTCACTGTCTAGCTGACCATTATCAGAATTGGGGCAATTCAGCGCATGAGTGTCAAGATCAGCAGTTAACCTTCAGTTAACCTCACGAAAGTGAAGCCACTTCTCTCGTCTGACCTCTTCACCTCCGCGACAAACTCGGGTCAGTCAACAAAATGATCTGCCGGGCCACATGAACACCAGTCACCTGCTGTAAAAGTTATGTATATTAACCGATGCTAGTCGCTGCAGAGAAGTTTAGTGTGAACCAAACAGAAAATAAATTAATAAACTCGTAGAGACGTGATAATGAGAACTGGGAAAAGTAAAGGAGAAAAACAATTTGAGGAAAGGTGCATACATTGTTATCACATTTTAGAGATAAATCTTTCACTGGCTTCCTGCAAATGTAGCCTGAGGGGGGGAAAATGAATGCCGGAGTCCAGGGGGAGGCTGCTCAGCCTAAATATTTATGTGCTGTGTGGATTCCTCCATGCAAAACATAATGGAAATGACTTCACTGTCATGTAGTTGTGGCTTTTTAAGCAGAACAAGAGCACTTAATACAATTGAGTTTAATCATAATCAACAATGTGGAAAAAGAAATCATGCCGTCATCACTATTCTTATATTATCTTTTATTAAAACATCATTGACCTCCAACAAGTAAAGAATGTACATAATAATAATAATTATAATAATAATGATAATAATAAACTGAATAACATCAGAAAAAAGCATTTTCTGTTTATCTTTTAATCTTTTGTTGGTTCACTGGATCTCTGCATTCTCTGACTTCAAGGCTTGAGCTAGTTTTAGAGGAATGTATAGTACAGGAATCAAAAATTATCTTTCCCCCCATCTTGATTTTTTTTTCTTCTGACATCACAACATTATTTATCTCATTTGCAAGTCATCACACACATCATCCGCTCGTGAAATCTTCCAAAGGGTTTGGAAATAACATTAACCTCCCGTGGCGAAGGCACCCCCTCTTTCAGGCATACTCTAAAGTCAAACACACAGTAAAACGCAAGCTTCAATGCCTGCGGTGGATGTGTACAGTGCCGAGCTCCAGTGCTTTAATCAGACCTTTGGCCATAAAGCATCACACTGATGCAGCGGCTTCATTCTCAGCAGAACCAGAGACACAAGGGGAAAAGCATTCGTCTGCCACCAGCCTCCATCTAGCACAGCTCAGATAGCCCCTCTTCACTGACTCTCTCTGCTCCTCCTCTCCATCAGTGCTTCACGCTGAGTGCTGCGTCCTTTGGTGCTGGAATTCAAAGGAAATGCCACAGATGCACTGTCGGAAGGGGGGGAAAAAAGTGACCTTTAAAAACCCCCCCAAAAAACAGGATACTCACCGGGGGGGAACCAACCATTTTACACGATGTAATGTCACCGGGCTGCACACTGTGCAGATTGTCTTTTGATGAAGTCTGAACTTTTTAAAACATGTGAAACAATTAAAAACACAGTAACACGATAAAAACCTTAGATTTTTTTTTTTTTTTTTTAAGTCTGCACACTGCACTCAGAGTCAAGTGTAGGTTTACAGTATGTTCTGACAGGCAGGTGATGCTGAAAATCTCTTTTATGGTTTCACAGCAGTTCAAGTGGGCTTGACAAGAGCAGAATATCATCCTGTCATGCAGCTGATTTCTCTATCCACATCCGTTCCTGGAGCTTTTCATAAAAAAAGCATTCGGTCTGTAATGGTGCAGTGTCCAGCGCTGGCGGTCATGTGTCAATGACGTCCTGCGCTGGCGAAGGTTCATGTGGCAAACTGGTGGTGTTGGGCAGCGGCTGTGTGTGGCTGACGGAGTTCTGCTGCAGCTCTAGCGCCATGGCGTTCTGCGGGTGGGGGAACTCCTTCACCTGTCTGCGGTACTCCAGGAAGGTGGACGCCTTGGTTGCGATGGCCACCACGTTCTTGCCGACAAAGATGGTGGACACGCGGCTGTCCTGAAACAACACCATGTTCACGCCACGTATGAGGATGGTGACCACGTTTATGGTGACCAGGCTCAGGACCGGGTACAGCATCATCTTCTGGGGCGACATGTGCTCCCCCTGCATGCTGATTTCGCTGAGCGACACGCAGGGCAGGATGAGCAGCAGGATGTAGCAGTAGAAGAACATCAGGCCCTCAGCCCAGATGGGTAAGCCCGTCCGCTGGGGCTCCCACAGGTTCGCTTGGATATCCAGCAGGTCGAGTAGGTCCAGGGCCACCCAGAACAGACGGCTCCTCATGTCCTCCTTCTTTCTAAAAGTCCTCACATATTCCATACTATCAAGAGCCACGAGAACGAGGTATAAACCTGGCACGCACACTGATAATAATAGCGTCAAAGCCTTGCGTGCCACGGTCTCTAGGCTCTTCCTGTCAGCTTTGCAATTCTGGAAAACAAAGTAGAGTTTGATCTCCAGAACAAAGATGTAGAGAAACCAAAGGATCATGGCGTATCCTCGACGGGCGGTGCGCACCTCTGCTCCAACCCACACCGCCACATATCGCAGCACGATGAGGAAGCATACATCCCCTACCAGCACTATAATGCACACACCAATCTTTCTGGGACCCTGGTTCTGCTCCACCAGGTAGGCGTCCATGAAGGCCATGCTGGTCATGATGACGATGGTGGTCAGGCACACGTGGCGTTTGTCTGGGGGCGGTAACACCATGGCGAGGTCACCGGCTGGCTCTCACTCTACCCACAGCTTTTAAAAGAAAAAAGAAAAGTCTGGAGGGTAAACGCAGCAGTGTGCCCCTTCCAAACCCTTTATAGTTGAAGAAAAAAGGGAATTTAAGGTGGTCTGACAGCTCTAGCGTGCACAGGTGCAAACATCAACCTACTGTGTATTTGTAGTGAAATAATACAAGTCACTGCAACTAATAGTCCAGTATGTGGGGGGTGTTATTGCAGCTTAAAAGCGGAGCCGTGTGTGGAGTCAGCAGAGAGATGCTGGCTGCTGATTGCTCTCAGACCATGGGAAAACGGGAACATCACCTCGTTACTCAGCGCACTTCCATTGATCCAGCCCTGCCCCTGAGCAGCAGCTACACCGAGGGCTCTACAGCTGACATACCATGACTGATAGTAATCCACACGTAGTCAAATGGAGAATACTCTGAGTGAGCTCCAGCTAATGGACATGTGATTGGATTGCAGGACACGGTGCTGCAGTGGGTAAATGTTTATGGGGGTGTTTATTTTTGCGTGAGACTGTTGAGGAAGTAACGGCGCGGCATGAGGCTATATCCGTGCGTACGCCTGTGCTGCTGCTCTGCATGTGCGAGGAATTCCTCTTTGGATACTCCTGTGGAAGGTGGTGCAGTGTGTGTGGCTCCTTGCGATCCTGCAGCGTGTGCGAGGGGAAACGGAGAAGAGGGAGGAGAGGAGTCTGCAGTGGCCAGAGGCCTCCAGCCGCCATAAATCACAGAGACAGCAGGTCAGTGGCCCATGAGGCCTGGTGTCCGACGACGGCTTCCCCGGGGGAAGGCTCTTACACCGGGCTGAAGATCCATTCTCTCTAACTCGTCTTGCCGCGTGCCAGCCTCTCCTCAGCCTAGAGGAAGGAGAAATAAAGGAAGAGGAGAAGAGGGGGAGGGAGGAGGAGAAAGAGAAAGAAACCTGTCAGCACTACTGGGCCATATAACATAGATTTCATTGCCAACAGCCCTCAACGTATGAGGAGCCAAGTAATGTGTCAGCTTGGCCTCAAACATGGCCTATTTCACTTGAGATAGGACAGAACACAGTGCATGTTACAGTATAACTGCTTCAGGATGCCATTACCTCTCTTGTATATAATTTGTCTCGGGACATCTGGATGTATGACTCAATATGCTCCGATGATTGTATTATTACATTCAGCATATTGGGGTAATACCCACTAGTTTTCATTTTGGGCGTTAAATTAATCGCAGATTTATTACTAGAAACTGTAGAACCCAATTTTATAGTCTCGTATAGGAGCTGAGTCGTTGGCAGCTCATTTTCTTTTTCTCTGCATTACTTGGCACCATATTTTCTTCTTAAAGCCAGGGTAAATGGGAAAAAACGATGGCAGAGTTCACTTCCTGCATATATTTTGAGCCAGTTTGGTCCAAACTGCAACAAGGAAATCACGATTGCACTATGCCCGGTATGCAATAGATTTTGTTTTAATTATATAAGGCGGTTTAGGGTTTCTTGTCGTGCATCTGACAAGTGGAAGTCTTTCAGTCTGTCCTTTCTTTGAATGAACCTGTTCAGATTGTAAATTTTATTGCCACTGTAAATCTTTATTAAATTGAACATCCCTCATTGTTCAAACATTGTCTGAGGCGAACACAACAATCCTGCGAGCCACTACTCTTTCTTCTTCTATTGTTTTATGTTGACTTCCTGCAATTGCTCCGAACTATTAAAAAAAACATTTTTTACACTGCAGACAAACCAGTTTGATCTGGTCCAAGAGTCTTCAAACAGTAGACTGATAATTATATTCAGCTCAAACTCCCTTTACAGCCTCCGATTACAGTCTGTTTTTACTAAATGATGTTTCAAGGTGTTTCTGTTTTGACCTCTTTCAGTATTCCGCCTCACGTGTGCGTTGAGGCGTGTGACGGGCTGGTTGGGGGGCTGCTCTCATCAATAGTCCAGTCTGATGTTTACGTCATATACTTAAAATAGCAAAACAAAACTGTACAGATGCTGAGTGCTTGACTAGCCAGCAGGAGCCCTGCTCGTTCACTGGCCTCATCCATGAATAACACAGCATGTCTAAATAGCGTGGGTAGAAAAAAAAGAAGTGAAATGTGTTGATTGAGCAGAAACATCTCCCTCGGTTTAAGTTTGGGCTTAAAGGGGAACTTCAATTTATCTGTCGCTCTCCCCCGTCACTGGTTCCTTCAGGCAGAACAGGAATAAATCACATTAGTGTTTCTGTCAGCTGAGGTAAACTCCAACTACAGATATGACTGTATTATTTAGAGAGCACAGCCAACGCTCCTCTAAACAAAGCTGTTGGATTTAGGTGAATGATCAGAACACTTCTGTCTCATGCAGATATCCCGAAATAGTCCACAAATTTTATTTGTGTCAAAGTCATGACTTGAATATGTGTCACACATCATTGTAAGAGATATGGAGACATAAAAATGTCAGATACAAGGTTTCATCTTCCGGGAAATATTTCAGACCAACCAACAGGGCAATGTTGCCTGCATGGCTAAAAGTTATTAATACATGTGAAATGTATCTATCGAAAAAGATTAGGCTTCTAATGACTTAATCAATGCTTAATAAACATTTCATGTTTATAGATCTGTTACAATTAAGCCAGTAATTTATTCCTTTTATTCAGTCTTAAATGTGTGTAATCCATGATACTCATACGCAAATGATAGAATGTTGTTGATGAAAGGATCAATTGTGTGCAGGTCTTTTTTAGTGGTCAAACAGCTTTCACCACCCAGATGTTGTTCTTATTAATGTCTTTTCTAAAACTCATAATGAATGAAATGAAGGGTGTCTAATTAGACAAATGTTAGAGGTTGGAAAAACATTAACAAAACACAAAATGTCAACAACAGCACTTTTAGCGAAGACTGCAGACCAAGTTTGAATCTTTGCTTTTGCCATTTGCTAAATATTTTAGTCAAACAATTGCAAACCTTTTAGTGAAATTGATTGACCTCAGTTTAAAAGCCAATCCAGGAATGTGTTGCAAATTATTCCATCACACTGCCTACTTTTGTCAGTCAAAGTCAAATTCATTCTGACGAACTGAGCTCTTCGTTTGACAAAATTTAAATAAGTAATAAATAAACATGAGGGTTTTTTTCAGGGGCGCTGTGTGACATCACCAGAGCAATATGGGCTTTTAAGCTGTTTTTTGAGCTGAGATCCAAAAGCTCGTGGGGGGGTTATATTTCATCAGAAAAATTCCAACCTCAAAGAACATGAACTGTATGTACACCCTGAAAGGAAACAAGGGGAAAACTATATTTAATAGCTTCTTTCATAACTTTCAGTGGATGCAGTATTTACTGTCTTTGCAACATAACCGTTTGTTGAGGGGAAAAAATAACATGTTACATCAAATAACATCCCAAATCAAAGGCTGTTGATTGAAGCCCAGTTAACGACGAGCGAGCCACCACCACGAGTCTCATTTGTAATCCGAGCATGGATTTGAATGTTTAAAACCCATTATGTAGAACGAGGCCTAAGTAAGACATTAAATTCATAAGATGGTGATTAATTGACTGATTAGCAGAAAGCTATGGATCATTAATGTGCTGTACGGACGACTGCTCTCATGTTTACAGTACATCATGTCATCATTTAAACACCATTAATTATCAAAAAAGACTTTGAGATTGTTTCTGTAATAAGCGGATTATCGCCTACGTGATAACACATGGGCTAAATTGGACCTCCAGGAGTTATGACTTCTGCGGTGAAACACGGATCTCAAGGCGTGATAAGATGGTGCATGGGTGCCACATGAAACAGGAAGCTGATGAACATTGACAGTAATGGATGATTATTAATCCTCGCTGTCATATTCAGTACAAAAGTGTCTTTGTCTGTGTGAAACGACAATGGCACCCAGCTCTGTTTTGCATATTCTCTTCAGCACTTACGATGTCTGACTCGAGGCTAAAGATTAGGACATGGCTGCACCGCAGACTTGGAGGGAAAAAAAGACGTCAAAGAAATGCTGGTTGATATGTAATTTGACAGCTGTGACGACTATCATCTCACATCGATGCCCAACTATTCTCTTGCAAGAGCACAGGGCCACTGCGTACAGCCGCCTGTACGTTTCAGCTATGCTTATATGCTTCAATTACAGCGTATTAATTATGGTGTACTATAAATAGGCAACACGGAGGGCTGTGAACTGGCAGCACAACATTATTTCACAGAGGGAGGCTATTATTGTGTCTGTGGCCCAGGCCATTATCTCTCTGAATAGCCAGAGTTTCCTTGTCGGGCACTTGTATTAACACTTAGCCTCCCTGTCTGGCTGCAGGCTTCCATATGGATCACAGCATGGACAAAGAAAGTGGCATCAGTGCTTCTTTTTTTTTTTTTTTTACAAGTTGTACCAAAGAACACAGTGCAGATCTATTTGGACTAAAGAACAAACCAGTCAGCACAAGAGACGTTCTGATACCAACATCAGAAATGACTGCTGATACAGCCTGGTTGGCGTTTAGACAAATCTATGTATCGACCCAAAACCAAGTCTTTAAATTAAATTAGTTTAACCCAGACAAAACTGCACTTTTCTTTTGGTGGAAATTTCTTCTTTTTTACCGCTCCAAAGTTGTGCTCTACTGCCACTGGCAAGTACCTTTTTTAGAGTAGTAAAGAAGTGATTTCTGGTAGTGTAGCATTAGCCAGAGCTGTTAAAATAAGGAACCGTAGTTATGACTGTCAGAGTGAACAATAAAAGGAGTTCTATGGTATTCGTTCTGTTTGTTTCCGAGTGGGTTTAACCTGAGCCAGGCCATTCAACAATGATAGCAATCATCACGTGCATACAGGTTAGTAGCATTCAGCTGTTAATGCTTTAATTTTGTTAAATGCTCTGGTACTTGATCTGTTTCGACAAATCCAGGAATCAGTACTGGGAAGAGAAAAATGGCATCAGAGCATCTCTAGTCAGTGCAACCGGAAAGTTGTTCAAGTACAACCACATGGTGGTGCTGCTTTTGAACACACACAAACCATTTATTACCTGTGTTCTCGATAGATTGATGTTTGTCTTTTTGACATAACCTCACCGTTTAAGAATCGTCAAGTCTTTCAAGCTCCAAGAAGCTTTTCTCTTTACACTGAGGTGTTCTGACAGTTGATGCACCTCGTGAGGGCTGAGCTATCGCTTGTTTACAGCAGCAAGAATCATTTCATCCTGCAACTGTGGATGATGTGCTCCGTTACCTGTGGGCTTCAAAGGGGACTGAGATGTTTGTGCTTTTCCGAAGCTGCATTAAATGAATTGTATTACATCAACTCTCCCTAATGTGCTCGC